TAATTGGAGAGGCAGGGAACTATGGCTACAGAATATTTCTTAAACTGTTGAAAAACACTCAGTACATTGGTTAGTTTTGTCAAACTTTTCCTTGTCATAAAAAAAGGCTCATCGTGGGTGGGAAGAAAGGCAAGAAAAGGATTACTAGAAAAGACTGGTGCAAAAACCAAAGGCTTCTGACAAGATCCCGTTACTTCCCTTTCCAAAATTAATTATTTTAAACTTCAAGGGGCACTTTCCAGGTCTAATGGTTCAGAATTTGATGAAAAAAGTTGTTTCTTTTCATTACAGTCTTCCATGATTGTACAGGCTTCCATCAGATTTTCTCCTCAGTCTTCATATTTCAAGACTGAATGGAGTACCTTTTTTTTTTTTTAATTAGCCTACCATACTTTCATCTATATCTATTCTCCAACTTTGTCCTCCAAACAATTGGATCTTATCTCTCTAGTACAGGACCACCAATAGAAGTATTCCAGACTCAGGGTCATATCTTAGGGGACAAATCCCAGGAGGAATGATCCTTTACCACTATACCCTATTTAGTTTAAAATTGAATATCAAGAAAATCCTTGAAGGGAAAGGGAGTCAATGGAGAAATTGGAAATGGCCATTTTTCTCAATACTTTAAACTTCCTCCCCAAATCTTTTACTAGAGGAAGTAAACAGCTAATATAGAAGATTGTGTCACTTGCTAGCTATGTAACCTTGAGTAATTCACTTGATCACTCTGAGCCTTAAATTTCTTATCTATAAAATGAGATTCAATGAAATGATTTCTAGGATTCCTTCCAGTTCTGATATTCTTTGATTTTATGCTACAATTCACTTAAACTTTACCTCCTTTCTCTTTTATGCTTATCCTTTGGAGGTGAGTAGTGGGTAATAATTATCAGTAAGCTTGTCAAAAATCAAGTCAACAAGCTTTTGTTAAGTGCTTACTATGTGCCCAGCATTGTGCTGAGAGCCAGCAATCCAAATATAAGCAAAAAGAAAGTCAGTCCCTGACTTAAAAGAACTTACCGTCTACTGGAATAAGACAGCCCACAAAAGGGAGCTGAAAGGGGGTTGGGGGAGAAGAGACCCACCCTCAGTAATGAGGGACATGGTGGCAAAGTCCAAAAAATGAAGTATGGATCCTTTGGTCCCTTCTTCAAAATAAGAAAGGGAGGGGGGTAGATAGGGGTAGGGAGTGGAAGGGAAGGAAATGTAGTAATGGAAATCTGCCCACAGCATGGAATTGAACAGAAAGGAAGCAAAGTTGGCCATAATTTAAAAGGAATAGAGAGATCATGAGATCTCCAGGGAGTTAAGAAACAGTGCTAATGAGATCAATAAACAAGCATTTTAAAGCACCTACCATACATTATATCAAAGAATTAATAATAATATCCATATAGACTCAAAAAGAATCAGCATTTTGTCAATCAAATATGCAGGAAGAACACTGTACAGTATGCTGGGGATTCAAATATGAAGAATGAAACAATCCCTGCTCTCAAGGAGTGTAGAGAAAGGGAACTTGGAAACACAAGCAGAAAAAGAAATCTTGAAGCAGTTAGATATCAAAAGGGTTTTAATAGAAATAATCAGGAACCTCTCCTCTTCTCCTCCCCCTGCTCAATTACTATACTGCCTAGAGATAAAACCAGATCTCCATCTCTAGATTTCCCTCTTTTTTCCCTCTTAAACATCTGTACCAGAAGAAAGTGAATAGCTTCTACACAGCTGGTAATAGTTTAAAATGACATGCATGTTTGATTTATCCATTGGTCTTCCACTTTCAAGAAATCAGATTGCATTGCCAGGCATGTAGTTAACCAACTGATTAATTAAAAGACCAAAATGTAAATTATTGTCGAGCTAGGGTTATCATTGCATCACTTGTTCAGCATGCTAAATATTTGCGATTGAGCATACCTTGACACAGCAGCCATTGATATACACTGCATAATATAAATGAAGGTACACAATGGCTGAAGTAATTCAATGATAGAGTCTTCAAATAAAGTCAAAAATTTTGCTACAAATGGCAGTTCCCTAAGTTGTTCTGTGTGAATTTAGAAAGGAGTTTCAAAAAAGGCACTTAAAACTTAGTAAGATGCCATTAACTGGTGTGATATTGGGAAAGGTTAGGGATCCCTAAGGCACATTGTACAAGCATAAACAGGGCCTGTTTCCGCTGACCCATGTATAGGATGTATCTCTTTGAGCCCTGGAGGTTAATGTCAGTTTTATCTCTCCACTATACTCCACAAAATGTTTAAGGTACATTTTCTGGCTGTACCCACTTTGAAGATCAGCTGTGGTAATTATCAATCCTCAACTCTCCAGAGAGAGCAGAGTCACTCTACTAACAAGGTTAGTATTAGAAGTCAGCATCTTTCTTATATTGTTGACCTAGCATCTGCAGTTCAAATCAGTAAGCATTTTTATTAAGCACTATTTATGTGCAAAGCACTATGCCAAGTCCTGGGAGGACACACCCTCATAGAGTGAATCATCAGTGGAATGAGAAGCAAGTTTTACAAAGGTCATAGAACAACATTCAGTTTATTGGTGTGAATACAGGCCAGATGTCCCAAAAGTCTTAATGCAGTTTTAAGGCTTAATAGTTTATATTATCAATAATATCAACAAGGGGCAACTAGGTGGCACAGTGGATAAAGAGCCAGATTTGGAATCAGGAGACTCATCTTGGTGAATTCAAATCCAGCCTCAGTCACTGGCTAGCTGTGTGACCCAGGTCAAAGTCACTTAACTCTGTTTGCCTCAGTTTCCTCACATGTAAAATGAATGGGAGAAGGAAATGGCAAACCACTCCAGTATCTTTGCCAAGAAGACCTGAAATGGGGTCATGGAGAGTCACATACAATGGATACAACTGAAATGACTCAACAACAAATGTATGAACAGGACAGCTAGGGTAAAGTGGATAGAGTGCCAGACCTGGAGTCAGGAAGACTTATGTTCCCAAGTTCAAACCCGGCCTCAGCTACTTACTAGCTGTGTAACTCTGGGCAAGTCACTTAACCCTGTCTGTCTCAGTTTCTTCATCTGTAAAATGAGCTGGAGAAGGAAATGGCAAACCACTTCAGTATCATTGCCAAGAAAACCCCAAAATGGGGTCATGAAAATGACTGAACAAACAAACAAAAAAAGAAACAAGATGGAAATGTTCATGATGATTTAACAATGCTCTCACTTTGTTCAAGGAAGCTCTAGGATACCCCTGAGTGAGAGGATGTTGAATATCCATATACTCACTAAATTACAGATTAGAATTTAAAGGGGCTTCATCTAATCTAAGGGTTCTTAATCTGGGGCACATAAACTTGATATTAAAATATTTTGGTAATTATTTCAGTACAATTGGTTCCCTTTATAATCCTACATATTTTATTCTATGTATTTAAAGGTATTATTCAAAGATAGAGTCCACAGGTTTCACCCTATCAAACAAAAAAGAAAATATTTTTTAAATACAACCTGCTATCTCTGGTATCAGGGATTTACTGTTGATAAATCAAATTTGTTCATTTTATACACAAGGAAAAGAAGGAACAGGGAAGTAAATTGATCCACCACAAGAGATAAACAACAGGGCCAGAGCCTTGAACTCAGGTCATCTGACTCTAAATCCATTTATCTTTCCTTAAAACTGTCATATATGAGCATAACAAGTTACATGTATCCAGGCATAGATATAAGATACTCAAATAGAGATCATCATGGGAATATACAACTCCAAAAACCCAAGATATAAACTCACAGGTCCTCATCACATTGATGACCCAGCATCTAACCTAGTGTCATACATCTGAGGTACTTAAAAATGTTTGTTGAATATGAATAATGTTGACAAAAGAGTAGGAGACAACTACCAAGGAACACAGGCCCAAACAAAGCAAGAGAGTTGTAAAAGAATATACAGAATTCTGGACAGCTACAAATGTACTTATATAAAATATAGTTCTAATTAGGAAAAATTAATTAAGATTAACATGCAAGTTGCTGAAAACTCCCAAAGCAGATAAAAAGATAATTCACTAAAGAACCATACAAAGACAAGAAAGATATTAAGCATGAGTCACCCCTGTGATAAAAATGGAAAGATTTACTTATTATTAGTGCTACAGCCTTCATGATTTATTACCAAAATGACAAGTTTTCTCAGGCTCTGGAGCTTACAAAAGCCAGTGTAGAGATTATTTTTTTAAGAAATGACACACAGTTCCAGTAAGCAGTGTCAAGCAGCACATACAATATGTGGGACAGAAGCAGACAATTTTTTTGTTAACTTTCTGTTGAGATATGATATGGTAGCCCATACCCTAGGAATTAAAGTGGATATTTTTCATTGTTTATGTTTTAAAATATCGTAACAATGGGTACTCCATGGGTATTCACAACAGAGAATATAAGGAAGGCCCCAGGATGTTGAATGTAGCTATTATGGTGGATTTAGGCAAAAGTCATACAGGATAGGCAGGCATGAATGATAGTGGTAGTAGTGGTGGTGGTGGTGGTGGTGGTGGTGGTGGTAACAGATAGCATGGATATAGCATTTTAAGGTTCACAAAGTGCTTTACATGTAGTATCTTATTTGATCCTTATAACTTCCCTGGGAGGTAGATGATATTATTATCCCCATTTTACAGGTGAGGAAACTAAGGCAGAAGGAGGTTAAGTGACTTGTCCACTTATCACACAACTAGCTAGTGTCTGAGGGAGGACCTGAAATTGGGTCTACTGACTCCAGGTTCAACATTCTATACCACCTAGCAGACTACAATATAGGGATACCCATATTAATGAAATCATAGATCATTAGAATATTAGAACATGTTAATACACATTCCTATATAAATAATACTACAAACAGGGAGTCGTAGCAAACAACTTAGAGTTTAAAAAACCAATGGCAAAGAAATCTGGGAAAAAAAACTCAAGCATCACATAATGACTCATATTGAACATTACATAATTTCAAGCCTTACCTCAAGGGTCATGTATACAGTACTAATTGCTACTTTTATTTCTCCATCTGACAGTTCCTTCAGATCCTTCAGCACTGTCTGTTCAATACTTAAACCTGTTAAAAGAAGGAGAACATAGCATGCTTTTACTGTAGAGAAAATTTACAGTATAACAATATTATGTCAAAATGTTCACACTATTAACCTCAATTCCTTTTTCCCCCTCAAATACTGTGGAAACTTAATATCTCTCAAATACATATTTGTTTTTAGGGAATCATTAGTATCCTAATGCCATAGTAAGGGAAACCAATGAAATGAACAAGTTTAGAGATCACTATTGTTGACACAAATTTGAGGCCACAAATTATATAGATCATTGATGATACCATAGCAAAATTACATTCTCTGATTTATTTCCAGGACGCTTTTGAGTGAACCAACATTTCTTACTTCCAAAATTTTTTTCAAGTGAATTTTTTCAATGTGCAGTTTATCTGGTGGGTAAATATAATAATGATGGAATTATTCTAATTCAGTCATTCATTCTTTCCTAGAGGATTTATAGTAGTAATTATTACAATGGTAAATACTGTATTCCCTAATTCTAAATTTTCAGCATTGCTTAGAGTTTTAGTCTGGTGGGTTTGAATGAAATCCGTAATAGAGGAAGCAGGTACTCTCCTGGCAGCAAATTCTCATCCTATGCATATGTTATGGCTTTTCTTCACCTTTTTTTCAAACAACAGAAAATCCATAGAAATATATGGACAAAAGTGTCTCTATTATGTGCCTCCCCATCTAGCAACCTCACAACTTAGACAGTCAATAAAGACTGGTAGATTATAAGCTACCTATGACTTGAAGGTTGAAAGATCATGGGAAACTACATAACTGTCCTGTATCCCAAATAGATTGTCTGTAATGTACTGATATCAACAGCAACAAAAACACCAATTAGGCATCAAATGGATGCCATTTCATCATTGTGTGTATTTTGCCTGTGTTCTTCCATAGAGCTATTTACTGTCAAGATGTCTTCCTCTAAGTCAAAGGTTCTTAACCTGGTTGGGGGGAAGGGTGGGTAATCAATGGACCCCTAAGGAGTCTGTGGATAGATTTCAGGAGGGTCTTTAAATATTTATATATAGGTATATATAGACATCTATATTTCAATATATTTTATTTCCTTGCAATCTTAAATATTTTATTTTACACATTTAAAAACATGATTTGGCAAAGGGGTACCTAGGCTTCACTATTTGCCAAAGGAGTCCATGGCACAAAAAAAAATCTAAAAATCCCGGCCCCAGGTCATTTTACATTTGGGGGTTACAGCCCTTAGGCTGCCCATCTGTTATCCCCTTCTCTCTCTACATGACCAGCCCACCTTTTCTCATCACGCATTTCCTAAATAGATACACTCAAGCAAATAGGGACAGGGATAGTGACTGGACCAGTGATTGCCTTGATGTAGGGAGGTCTCAGTGAGAAACTTTCTCCACCAATACAGGTCAGCCCTTTCTCTGCAACTTATAGTCTTATAGGGCTTCTTAAAACACTGAAAGGTTCAAGGATTTGCCCAGGATCTCATAGCTAGTAGGTGTCAGAAAACACTGTGCAACCTATCCACGTGTATATTATAGATATTTGCTTTATTCTTTTTCACTAAAATCCACGTCCAATATCTCATCACAGCATGAAGGTGACCCTGGATTCTCAAATTCTATGCCAAGGAACACAAGCTCTGATGACTCCACACAAACTGGAAAGGTTTCTAACAAAGGGCGGGAGACATGATGTGTCTACTGTCTGAGGATCAGTCTAGCCAAGCTCATCACCAGCTTATGAATTTTTCAGCTGTAGCATATCCTTAAGACCACACTCAGTAGTAGAGAAGCTGGGCTCTATGGCAATGGAGGATGTAACCATACTGATCACTGAACCCTGAAGGTTATTTTTGCTGAATGAATGATGGTCCCCATCTTCATCAGGAAATTTTGTTTATTTAAAGAAGCCTGGTAAAGTGAGCCTTTAAGCCTCTAATCAACAGAACATTTTCATCGACCCAGCGTTTCTCTTTCACTTCTTCATATCCTTCTAAAATATAATTTATTTATAAAATGCTCTCTAGTTTGCAGTCAGCCCTACCCTATTCTTAAAATAGAACCCTCTCTACAAATCAATACTGTACAATGGTGTGTCAGGGGTACACATTAGCCGAATGAATACCCGAAACATTTCCAGACATCAGTACCTCAGAGTATTGGCAGTATCAGCTAACTGTACCCAGGCAGGTTGCAGTTATTTAAATGAAAATCATCTGCAAGCATAAAAAAGCAGAGGAAACACAACTTCTGAAATAATGCAATACACTATCCCCTATACTCAGAAAAGAGTTGTGATGTGCCTCAATGATGTTAACACTTACCCTGAGCATTGCATTGGGTCTCTTGCAGAACACTGATAATGTCTTCTCTTGGAGGCAAATCAGGAAATTTCTCTTCTAGAATGGAAAGAATTTCTTCCTGTTTCTCTGACATCTTCTCAGATTCCATGGACATCCAGTTGAAAAGAATACTCCCTGAAATGAAAGAGACACTGGCTTTTAAATACTGATATGTGATGTGAGAGCCTACGTCTTTTTGAGTCATATCATCAGTGGTCCTACCCATCTCTTCTCAAATTCCACTTCGAGAAATTAAAAAGGTCCTTTTCAAGGTGGCATTGAAGCCCATTTCCTACATGAATGCTTTAATAACAATCTGCCAAAGTTCATTTCACACCAGTAACCATCAGCATGACTTAAAACTAAGACTTACAATTAAGAAGTTATGGACCCAAGTACAACAGACCGAGATAAATAATTTAATTAATTTAAAACCCTTAAAAAAATAAGGAGAGACAGATAGCCAGTGGAAAGAGGGCTGAGTATGAAGTCAAATGATCCAGCTTTGCCATTTACTCCCTGTGTGATCTAGAGCAAGTCAACTAATCTCTCCTAGCTGATAAAGTAGTGGGGATCATCTGACTGGCCTGGCACATGCTGTGTGTATATGGACCTGGTAGAATGCATAGAGCACAGGGAAGAACTGAGTTGAGTCCTGACTCTGACACATACTAGTGACCCTGGGAAAGGCTCTTAGACTCTCATTACTCCAGGCAATTTTGTAAGATGATAAATTGCAGAGCCAGGTGCTCATTTGCACTGGTCAATGAGATTTCCTCATGAGAAGTGAAATGAAATCACATGCCTGGTCCAAAATAATAAAAATAAGATTCCATTAAATTAATCGCAATACAAATGGTGAACTATTCAAAGGTATTTCCTTGAAAGGACATAATAAAGCATAAATACCACCAGCTTGTGGAATTCTAAAATTAATTTCTTCTATTTCTTAGCAAAGTACCCATTTAGATGACATTCAGAATCTATGACTGTGAGCCCCTTGCCTTGTTCTAGAACCTGGCTAAGAGAGCAGTTTACATATCCTTTGTTTCATAATTTCTTAAATTAGAGCCTTATATTACAAGGTTATTTGTTCAGAGGAAATATCCTCTCAAAGCATTTTTTTAATCCAACCAAACACAATCCCCAGTGGGGTGGGGACCCGTTAAATCATTTTATAGCCTCCATACAGGCTCTCCTCTGGCAAAGAGAGTCAGGCTAGTAAAGCTGGAGAAAGTTCCTATTTAGTTAAATCTACAGAGAGAAAAACAGATTCATGATGTGATTTCTTAATGTGTAAATCATAAATCCATCATTTAATCCAGGTGTCAGGCACATTGCTAAGGATGGGTTCCATGACCATATCTAAGTCAATCAATAAACATTTATTAAGTGTCTACTACATGCTAAGCAGGGGGTATACAAAAAGAGGCTAAAGATAGTCCCTGCCCTCAAGGAGCTCACAATCTAATGAGGAAAACAACAAGCAAACAACTGTGTACCAACAAGCTATATACAGGACAAATAGGAAATAATTAAAAGAGGGAAGGCATTAGCATTATTAAGAGGGGTTGGGAAAGGCTTCCTGAGATTTTAATTGGGACTTGATGGAAGCCAGGAAAGCTATTGGGCAGAGCTGAGGAGGGAGAACATTCCAGGCATGGGAGACAGCCAAAGAAAATGCCTGGAGTTGAGAGATGGAGTGTCTAGTTTGGGATCAGCAAGGAAGCCAGTGTCACTGGATCAAGGGGTACATGGCAGGGAGTAAGGTGTAAGAAAATTTGAAAGATGGAGGCAGGCAGGACTGGGGTGGGGAGGGAGGAGAGTAGGTTATAAATAACTTCAAATGCCAAACAGAGTTTTCTGTTTGATCCTAGTGGTAGAGGGAGCCACCCACCGTTTAACATGAATGAACCTGCACCATAATTACTTTGGTGGCTGAATGAATGAAGGGCTGGAGTGGGGAAAGAATGGTGGCAGGCACCCCCACCAGCAGCCTATTGCAATAATCCAGGCATTTGACAAAGAGAGCCTGCACCAGAATGGTGGCAGTGTCAGAGGAGAGAAGAGGGTGTATCCAATAGATGTTGCAAAGGTGAAGGAAAGAAAGGCAAAAGACAGCACCTGTTGGGAAAGAGGCAGAGGAAGTAAAGGACAAAAAGGAATATGGCAAAGAATGGAAGGGTGGGGAGAAGGAAGATGAATTGTGATGAAACAGAAAGAGCCCCGAACCAGGAGGCACGAGATTCCTCTGACCTCTTTGTGCCTATTTCTCCATTGATCTTGGGAATCATACCTAATCTACCTACTTTGCAAATGCTGTTGCTTCTGCCTCCAGTCGCATCTGTCCAGTCAGGCCCCTTCTCTCCACTCACACAGCCCCTACCCAAATTTAGTTCCTCATCGTCACTCCCCTGCTCTATTTTAACAGGCTCCAATTTGTTCTCTTTGCCTCAAGTCCCTCCCCATTCCACTCCATGCTGCATGCACACTGCTGCCAAAGTGATTTTCCTAAAGTGCCGGTCTAATATGTCATGTTAGACATATCACACACACACACACACACACACACACACACACACACACACATCCTCTACTCAAGAAACTCCACTGGGTTCCTATCACCTCTAGAATCAAATATAAAATCTTCTGTCATATAAAGTCCTTCACAATCTGTCTCCAAGCTGTTTTTCCTGCTTTATCACACATGACTCCCTTCCCAACCTCTTGTTGTTGAGTCATTTCAGTTGTGTCTGACTCTTCACGACCCCATTTGGCATTTTCTTAGCAGAAATACTAGAGTGGTTTGCCATTTACTTCTCCAGCTTATTTTACAGATAAGGAACTGAGGTATACAGGATTAAATGATTTGCCCAGGGCCACACATCTAGTAAGTATCCGAGGCCAGATTTGAACTTGGGAAGATGAGCTTTCCTGACTCCAAGTCAAAGCTCCTACATCCAAAGCCTCCAAGTAAAATATGAATTGGTCTCAGGTCATGGAAGGGCTCAAAAAGGATTTTGAAAATCAGGTAAGAGAAGTAGAGGAAAAATTGGGAAGAGAAATGAGAGTGATGCAAGAAAATCATGAAAAAAGAGTCAACAGCTTGGTAAAGGAGGCACAAAAAATACTGAAGAAAATGACACCTTGAAAAAAAGAATAGGATCATACAAATGGGAAAAGGACCCCCATGTACAAAAATATTTACAGCAACTCTTTTTGTGGTGGTAAAATATTGGAAATTGAGGGAATACCCACCAATTGGGGAATGGCTGAACAAGTTGTGGTATATGAATGTAATGGAATACTATTGGGCTATAAGAGATGATGAGCAAGCAGACTTCAGAAAAACCTGGAAAGACTTGTATGGACTGATGCTGAGTGAAATGAGCAGAACCAGGAGAACACTGTACACAGTAACAGCCATGTTGTGTGATGACTAATGTTAATAGACTCAGCCTTTCTCAGCAATGCAAGGATCTAAGACATCTTCAAAGGTCTTGTGATAGAAAATGCTATCCACATCCAGAGAAAGAACTATGGAGTTTGAATGCAGATCAGAGCATACCGTTTGATATTTTTTTTTCCTTCTGTTTGTTTTGTTTCCTCTTTCTGGTGGTTCCTCCTATTGGTTCTAATTCTTCCTTACAACATCACTAATGTGAAAATATGTTTAATAGGAATGTATATGTATAGCCTATATCAGATTGTGCGCCATCTTGGGGAGGGAGGTGGGGAGGGAGAGGGAGAAAAATTTAAAACTCAAAAGCTTATGGAAGTGATTGTGGATAAATCAAAATAAATTAATAAAAAAAGAGTAGACCAAATGGTAAAAGAAGCACAAAAATCTAATGATGAGAAGAATTCCTTGAAAAGAATTGGCCAAATGGAAAAAGATATACAAAAATTCACTGACGAGAAGAACTCCTTAAAAAGGAGAATTGGCCAAATGGAAAAGGAGGTACAAAAAAAAAAAGTTCACTGAAGAAAATCATTCCTTAAAAGTTAGAATTGGGCAAGTGCAAGCTAATGATTTTATGAGATACCAAGAAATGATCAAAATCAAAAGAATGAAAAAATAGAAGAAAATGTGAAATATCTCATTGAAAAAACAACTAACCTAGAAAGTAGATCCAGGAGAGATTACTTAAGAATTATTGGACTACCTAAAAGTCGTGATCAAAAAAGAGCCTAGACATCACATCTTTCAGAAAAGTGTCAAGGAAAACTGCCCTGATATTCTAGAACCAGAGGGTAAAATAGAAATGGAAAGAATTCACCAATCACCTTCTGAAAGAGATCTCAAAATGAAAACTCCCAGGAATATTATAGCCAAATTCCAGACCTCCCAAATCAAGTTAAAAATACTGCAAGCATCCAAAAAGAAACAATTCAAATATCACAGAATAATAGGAAGACACAAGATTTAGTAGCTTTTACATTAAAGGATCAGAGGGCTTAGAATATGATATTCTGAAGGAGAAAGGAACTAGAATTACAACCAAGAATCACCTACCAGCAAAACTGAGTATAATCCTTCAAGGGGAAAAATTGATATTTAATGGAATAGAGGACTTTCAAGCATTCTTGATGAAAAGAGCAGAGCTGAACAGAAAATTTGACTCTCAAATACAAGATGCAAAAGAAGCATAAAAAGGTAAAGAGGAAAGAGAAATCATAAGGGATTCAATAAAGTTAAACTGTTTATATTCCTACATGGGAAAATGGTATTTATACCTCCTAAAAACATTCTTATTATTAGGGCAGTTAGAAGGAGTACACATAGACAGAAAGCAGAAATGAGTTGAATGTGATGATATGGTTATCTAAAAAAAAATAAATAAAAATAAGGGATGAGAAAGAAGAATACACTGGGAAAGGGGGAGAGGGAGAAGTAGAATAGGATAAATTATCTGACATGAGAGGCCTGAAAGAGATTTTACAGTGGAGGGGAAATTGGGGAAGCAAGGAAAAGAGCACATGAATCTTACTCTCATCAGAATTGTCTCAAAGAGGGAAAAATATGCACACTCAATTGGGCATAGAAATCTATCTCACCATACAGGAAAGTAGGAAGGGAAGGGGATAAGAGAAGT